TAGTAGTAGTAGTAGCAGTAGTAGTAGTAGTAGTAGTAGTAGCAGTAGTAGTAGTAGTAGTAGTAGTAGCAGTAGTAATAGGAGTAGTCGTAGTAATAGTAGTAGTAGTAGTAGTAAAAATAAGACTAGCATTAGTAGAAACACTCCTCCTCCTCCCTCTTCCTCCTCCTCTTTCTCTTCCCTCGTCATCCTTCCCACCATCATCTTCATATACAGGTGGCATTGGCGGCGAGAACGCAAGAGCAATAGTAGTAGTAAGGGTAGTAGTCCTCGTCGTCGTCGTCGATGTCCTCGTCGGCGTCGTCGTCGCTGTCGTCGCCACCGTAGTAGCTATAATAGTAGTCGTAGTCGTAATAGTCGTCGTCTTCGTAGTAGCAATCGTAGTCGACATAGTAGCAGTAGTAGTGTAGTAGTAGTAATACGAATAGTAGTAGGAGCCGTCGTAATAGTAATTGTTGCTGTAGTAATCTTGAAAACCGTAGTAGTAGTCGTAGTAGTAGTAGCAGTAGCCGTAGTAGTAGCCGTATTCGTAGTCGCAGCCGTAGTCGTAGTAGCAAAAGTAGTAGTAGTAGTAGTAGTGGTGGTAGTAGTGATAGCACTCGTGGTACTAGTGGTAGCCGTCGTCGTCGTCGTCGTAGTAGTAGTAGTAATAGTAGTAGTAGTAGTAGTAGTAGTAGTAGTAGTAGTAGTAGTCGTCGCTTAGTAGTAGTAGTAGTAGTAGTAGTAGTAGTAGTAGTAGTGGTAGTAGTAGTAACAGTAGTAGTCGTAGTAGTAGTAGTCGTAGTGGTAGTAGTAGGAGTAGTAGCAGTAGTAGTAGTAGTGATCGTAGTAGAAGTAGTAGTAGTAGTAGTACTACTACTACTACTACTACTACTACTACTACGAATTATAATAATAGTAGCATACCTCCTCTTCCTCCTCCTCCTCCTCCTGCCTCCTCCTCCTCCTCATGTTCCTTTCCCTCCTCTTCCTCGAAAGTAAGGAATGGCGATGAGAACGCAAGAGCGCTAGTAGTAGCACTCCTCCTCGTCCTCCTCCTCATTCTCCTCCCCATCCTCCTCCCTCCTCCCTCCTCCCTCCGCCCTCCTCCCTCCTCCCTCCTCCTCCTCCTTCTCCTCGTCCTCCTCCTCCGCCTCTGCACTAATGATTGGCGGTGAAAACGCAAGAGCACTAGTAGTTAGTAGTAGTAGCACTCCTCCTCCTCCTCCTCCTTCTCATCCTCCTTCTCCTTCATTCGTTATCCTTGTGGCTATTTTTTTACTGTCGCACCCCGATGCGAGTTTTTAGGGCTGGCCCGGCGTTTCGCCTGAGACTTCCTCACCACTGATGACCCTGTAACTTAAAAAGTGACAATAGCTTCACAAATGGAGGGCAAGCCGTTTCCGAAATGTGGCTCTCGCCTTAGAGCCGCGCACATGTGGTTTAAACAATTGCAAGACTTACACTCACGGATTGAGAGCGGGTCGCTTCCAAAATGTGGCTCTCGCCGTAGCGCCGCGCACATTCGTTTTAAACACTTGCAAGAGCTTCACGGATTGAGGGCGGGTCGCTTTCAAAATGTGGCTCTCGCCTTAGCGCCGCGCACATTCGTTCTTAAACTTTGCAAGAGCTTCGCGGATTGAGGGCGGTTCCTTTTCAAACTGTGGCTTTCACCTTAGCGCCGCGTACATTCGTTTTCAACATCTGCAAGAGTTCCACGGATTCCCATGATCAACGTACCAGAAGTGATGCTTTGGAAAGATTCAGGATTACGCGGGTGCTGCAATTATGCTGATTCGCGGGGTTGAAGTCCCAAAAACGGCGCTCTGGCACGATTCCGGATCGTCAAGAAGCAGCAGTCAGGTTGATACGTGGCGTTGACATCCCGAGAACAATGTTTTGGCATGCTTCAAGATCTTCAATCGGTTGTCTTCCAACGATGCAGTTTGTTCAATGGAAATGAACCGTTGTGGGGGCCTATGAAGAGGGAGCTTGGAGGGAGGGTTGACTCCAATATCGTTGATGACTCTTGGCTTTACACTGGTCCTCTTCCTTCTTCTTCTCCTCCTCCTCCTTCCCCTTCCGGCCGCCCACCCCTCCCTTCGAACACGAGGCAAGCGGTCCTGGGCACCGAGAAACGCACACGCCGCCCTGGCCTTCGCCAACCGGGCGGCCGCGCCAAGAGAGTTACAGCACATGCCGCCTGCGACAGCGGCATTGTGACCCAGAGAGACAATGTCACGGTGCCGCGTGCCCCAGTGACTCCACCAACTGGGCCTCGAGGAGAGAGTGACTCCACCAATCTCTCATCGATGATGCACCAGGCCTTCCAGCGAAAGCCGCCGGGGCGAGCACGGCGGGGCGAGACGGGGAGCAGGAGGAAGAGGAGGAAGACCAGGGGCTGTACCCAGGATGCACTAGCGATGCTACGATGCGCCCTTCCGTCCGCCCCGAGTGCGCCTCTCAGCAGCAGCGGCAGGGATTCCCGTCGGCTCTGCGGGAGACGCCCCCCTGGAGAGACGAGCGCCCCCCTCGGCCTGCCACTCAGGGCGAGGCCCTGTGTGCAAAGGGTCCACCGCACACGTCCTCCAGTCATTACGCTCGACCAGGATGCGCGGTAAGGATGCAAGGGCCTTGGAACGCCACGTGGACGTTTTCCGTGCGGAGCGCAGCAGAACGCCGAAAGGATGCCGAATACCGAAGGGGCAAGGATGCAAGGGTAGCCTTGGGAAGTTGCCCCATCCTTACTATCATGGTTGACTGTATAGGATGAGCAGGGGAGTGGTGTCTGAGAAAGTCTGCCCTCCACCCGAGAGCGCTGGTCATCCGAGTCCCACCCGCCTGCTTGGCGCAGGTGATTCAGGGAGGTAGTTCTTCCAACCTCCTCTTTCCCTTGGGGGAAGGCTTACCTCTCCCCATACCCCGTCTCCCTGGGTCTGGAGGGGGCCTTTCGCGAGGGATTGGAGCGTGCAAGATGGCACAAGATGACCCCAACAGGGCCCCCTATCTGGCCCAAGATGACCTCCAAGATCGAACAAGATAGCGCAAGATGGCTCAACATAGTTTCCAACATGCCTCCAACAGGCGCCATGACCGTCTCAATATGGCTCCAAGAAACCACGGAGCCTCCCGAGGAAACCCCCGAGAGGACAAAATCCGATGCGGGAAGTCAATGTTGTTGTCGTCTCGCCTTTCGGCTTCCGATGGGCCCTCGAGGCCTCAGGATTGCACCATTATGGCCCATGAGAGCCCCAAGAGGGGCCCCAGACGGCCGAAAGAGCGCCCAAGAGCGCCCCCAGAAGGCCCCAACAGACAATGTTTCGACCCGAGCGGGGGGGGGGGGGGGGCATAATCGGATACCCTCTTCGTTGATCGATGGCCCCCAAGATAGTTTCCAGAGTCCCTTTTAGGGCCCCAAGAGAGCCCAAGAGAGCCCCAAGAAAGCCCAAGAAGGGCCCAAGAGAGCTCCAAAGGACTCCGAAATGGCCCCAAGAGGGCCCCACGATTGCCCCAGGATGCCCCCAAGAGGCTCCTAGAGCGTTGCTGCAGCTGTTGCCAAAGTTCGAATCTCGGCTTGTGAAGCATGAAGGAGAAATCAAGCGGGAACCCCATTTTGGAAAAGGTGCCGCCATCCATCCGTGCAGCGTGCAGCGGTTGATCCGACAAGCGAGCGAGTGTGCACGGCGCCCCGGCGAGAGCCCCACCTCGACGAGGAGCAGAGGAACTGTCCTCGATCCGCGTCGCCGCGGTGTATGAAGGCGAGTCGACGCGGCACCACAGCGGGAGAGAGAACCACCCCCCTCCGCCCGCGCCACGATGGCACGCGCTCCGCGACGAGCGCAGGCGGCGCTACAGCGAGAACCCCCCCTATGTTGGAAAGGCACGCCCTCCATCCGCGCGCCAAAGCAGCAGCCTTAGGTCGGGCATGTCCCCCTACAGGTCCTGGCGGATTTCGAGCGAAAAACGAAACATGCTCTCTCAAAAAATACACCAAAATGGCCAGACAAATAGCAAAACCACAAAATCACCCCCCGACTATCTTTGGACCATGTCTGAAGACTCCCCCCTGTAGAGGGACGTGCCCGACTCAACGGTGGCCCCCGTTTGAGAACCGGCCCGCCCTCCGCCCAGAGCAGCTGTTGGCAGCGCCGGGCGCGCAGCGCCCAGCCCGCCCCAGCGGCACGCCGGGGGGCCGTGCGGGGAGGGGTTTTGTCTGCATGGGCACGGAAGGGGAGGAGAAGGCGCCAAAACCGCCGAGGCCTGCATCGTGCCTGCCTGGCGCCACTCCTCCTCCTCCTCCTCCTCCTCCTCCTCCTCCTCCTCCTCCTTCTCCTCCTCGTCCTCCTCCTCGTCCTTCTCCATGTCCTCTCCTCCTCACCCTCCTTTTCCTCTCCATCCTCCTCCTCGTCCTCCTTATGCCCCCTCCTCCCCCCTCCCTCCTCGGCGAGGGGCGAAGAAGAAGAGAGGAGGGGAAAAGGCAGCAGCGGAGGACGGGAAGGAGAAACAGGAGGAGGAGGAAGGGGGAGGCCGGGGAGGGTGGGGAGAAGGCGGACAAGCAGGACGACGAGGTGAAATGAAGCAGGGGGGCAGTGAGGGAGGAGAGAGGAGAGAGGACGCATGGAGGAAGAGGAGTGAGGAGGCAGACGAGGAGGAGGGCGAGAATAAAGTAGGGACTAATGAGGGAAGGAGCAGGGAGGACGGAGGATGGAGGGCGGAGGAGCGAGGATGATGATGACGAAGGGAAGATGACCAGAAGGGAGAAAGAGGGACGGCGGAATGAATACTCGCAGAAAAGAGGGGCGCGGGTGGAGAAGGAGGGAGAGGAGAGGGGGGGAGGGAGAGGAGGAGGGAGACAAGCTTGGTGTGCAAGCGTAATATCTGACGTCCTACCCCTCCCTCCCATCGCTTACTATTGCATAGATATCCTCTCTGTTCGCACGGTCGGATGTCGAACAGGGCAATAATCCCGAGAGAATGCGCGATGCATGGTATAGCACGGCGTAGCATGACATCGCGTCGAGAACGCGACTCATATCGACAACACTGTCAGAAGGAGACCAGAAACGCCACAAGACGGGAAATGCTAACGGACGGTCTGGAAAGCGGGAAGCTCAACATGAGATCAACGCTGCGGCGGGAGCACGATATTTCGCGAAGGATCGAAACCGCGGAAACGAGACCAGCGCTTTGTTAAAGGCTTAACGATGTCTGCCGTCCTTCGACTCGCGCTGGAGCGGCCGCGAGTTGCTCCAACTTTCCCTGGAGAGTTCTGGATGTACCTGGATTTACCCAGATGTATCTCAATGTACCTGGATTTACCTCGATTGATCTGCATTTACCTGGATGTATCTGGCTCGATCCCCACAAGTCGATTAGCGAAAAGTCGACAAGCCCTTAGGGAGCGCTGCAGTGGGAGCACGATTCGAAGGAGTGGAAACGCGGAGACGAAAGCAACGCTGCAACAGAAGCACGATTCGGATGTGCAAAAAACGGGCGTTGGCAGAACTGGGTTTAGCGGGACCTGGTTTAGTGATGTGTACTGGGGGACGCCCCCCCCGCCCGTTCCACTAACTGGAACTGCCCTCACCCGAAAAAACACCAGCTACGGCATACCTGGTTTAGTGATTCTGGCAAACTGAAGGGGCTCCAGGGCCCTACTACTAACTGGGATCCTTACCTGGGGTCCTGGCTATACCCCCAAAAAAACGTGGAGGAAACCAGGACACCTTAACGGGCGCCTTCGGGGGGGAGAGGGGAGAGCAGAATTGTGGCGGAGGGAGGGAAGGAGGGCTAGGAGAAGCAGGAGAGGGGGAACGAGAAGGAAAGCAGGAACAGGTGCGAAAATTATGTTGCTACCATTGTACTTAAGGACCGTATCCCGGAAATAAATTCGAGCACCCAGAAAAGTATCGAAACGGTGTCTACCGAAGGTCGCCTCCCAGGGCACGACACGTGAAAACCTTCAAGTCATGGTCCTTTCTTGGTGCTCGAAATTCTTTCTGGTGGCCAAGGCTGAAGTAGCTTGGAACATCACGAGAGGAGGGAGGGAAGAAGGAGTGCGAGGAGAAGCAGAAGAGGGGGAAGGAGAAGGAAAGCAGTAACGGGTGCGAAGGAGGAAGGAGACAAGGAAGAACGGCGGGTGGAAGGAAATTGCAGGCGGATGAACTCTACGGTCAAGAACCGTTGCCTTCGCGTGCACCGGCGGCCCCGCGATACGCTATGCCCTGCAAGCGAATAGCGTGCCGCTCCGCTCCTTATGGCGGGAGGCAGGGCAAGGCTCGGGACGCTGACGCTTGGCAGCGGGAACGTCAGTGTCGCACCGAAGCGTCTTGGGCCAGAACTGCCAGCGCGACACGCTAAGCAGAAGCTCCTAAGCGTGATAAGGAGAAGAAGAAGAAAGGCGAGGACGCACGAGGGAGAAGGGGGAGGACCCTGCGGATGCGGATGAGAGCGACGACGACGACGACGGCAAGGGGGCAGGAGGTGGGAGGAGCACACAAGGAGCAAGAGGAGAGACGCGGGAAGAAGTTGAGGAGGGAAGGGGCAAAAGGGACGAGGGAGGGTGGAGATGTGAAGAGGGAGACTGGAGGGGAAAAACAAGGAATAGGAGGAAGGAATGAGGCAGACATGAGAAGGAAGGGAGGAGGAAGTAGGAAGTAGGAAGTAAGAGGGCGGAGGGAGGGGAGGTGGAGGATTTGGATTGCGACGCTGTTGAGAGGGGGGGGGAGAGGGAGGGAGGTGGAGATACAGGATGGAGAGTGAAGGAAGGGAGGATGGGGGAGCCGGGGAGGAGATGATACGCAGGACCTGCGAAGGTGGAGGTGGAGGAGGGAAGCGGGCAACGATCTGATCACCTACAACGTGAGAGCTAGCCCCTCACATGTCCAAGAGTTCAAAAGGAAACCACACCAGTGGATGGCTGTGTGGACTGCCCGTTGCTCGCGCATTGACAACTGAAGAAATCTTTCTTGCTGGTCAACGCCCTACAATATTGAATTCCGCTCTTTGAGCAGGCGCGCGAAAGCACTGTGGCTCGCTGAATCCAAACAACGCCACGCCCAGATAGCCACTGAACATGGAATTGGGGCGGGGATGGGAAGGCCGTGCTGATGAGCTGGAAGGGGTAATTAACAAGCAGGAGGGAAGGGGGTGGGGGAGAGCTTGTCTTGGCATGGCGCCCAAGAGCTTACGCTTTGAGAAAGACAAGTTTCGTGTTGGGAGAAGGGGTTGGGAAGATACAGGGTGCGACTGAATCATCAAGCACCCAACATTCGCGATCAGATTGACGATCTGATCCTGTCTCCCAACACCATCCTCAAGCCGATAGTTGTCTTTCCGACGCTTGAAAGGCACTAAAAAACAATCAGGCTCAAGGAAGGGCCGCCACCATGGTACTCAGCGCCCGTGGCCGCCCTGTACTGATCCTAGTGCGACAACATGGAGGCCTCGAGATCAATCCGGTAGAACCAGAACCCCTTCCTCCAGAAGGGGGGAGAAGAGGTCTTTCCATTCCTCCCCCTGCTCCCCCTTCCCCCCCCCCCCACAATCCACACACAATTTCACCGTTTGCATCCTCACTTTCGCGCCCCCCGTGCCCATCCACCTCCATCGTCACACTCCACCTCTTAAGCTCTCATCCCTGATCTCGCTCCCACTTCTCGCCCCTCCAGTCCTCCGTCCCCATTTTTTCCTTCGTTCTCCCCTGTGCCCCTGGATGCGTCTGATTGCCTGGAGTTTCTATCACTGCACGACAGCGAATATCGAGGAACAAGTGTCGGTCGAAACTGAAACGCAGTATTCCTGAACCGACGAAACGTGAGTCAACCATACAAACATAGCACGCGAAACCGAACAACAACACCATACAGCGGTTGATAACATCGATGTAGCAACGTGTGGTACACCTGGACGGCATAATTCGTGGACAACCATGGCTACCACGTCTCAGCATGCCCCGTAAAAGGGAAACAGCCATCGTAGCACTCACAACGGCAATTAACAACGTGTCGATATAGCCAGCTTGCGAAAACAACATACGTGAACGCGTGTGGACATGTGCGTTCGCAATTGGCACATTCGCAGCAGCAGAAGCATCGAGTACAAGTGCAAACGCCAGCACCAGTACATGCAAAGCACCGGAGCTGATACAGTCAGGCGTAAACCATCGTGAGGACTCCCACTGCCACTAAACATGACAGCGGCAGCGGTCGCGGTGGCGGCAGTAGCAGCACGCAAATCGGTTTGCGCAAGGGTGAAGGGACGAGAGAGTAAGTGCGGATGGGTCGGTGGGCGAGTGATTTGGTAGGCGGGTTGGTAGTGAGAGGGTGGGTGGGCGTGTATATTTGCACTGGTCGCAGTAGTAGTAGTAGTAGTAGTAGTAGTAGTAGTAGTAGTAGTAGTAGTAGTAGTAGTAGTAGTAGTAGTAGTAGTAGTAGTAGTAGTAGTAATAGTAGTAGTAGTAGTTGTTGTTGAAGCAGTAGTAGTAGTAGCAGTAGTATCAGTAGTAGTAGTACAAGTAGTAGTAGTAGTTGTAGTAGTAGTAGTAGTAATCGTCGTCGTCGTCGTAGTCGTCGTCGTCGTCACCGTCGCCGTAGTAATAGTCGTAGTCGTAGTCGTAGTCGTAGTCGTAGTCGTAGTCGTAGTCGTAGCCGTAGTCGTACTAGCAGTAGTAGTGGTAGTACTAGTAGTAGCACTAGTAGTAGAAGTAGTAGTAGTAGTACTACTACTACTACTACTACTACTACTACTACTACTACTACTACTACTACTACTACTACTACTTAGTAGTAGTAGTAAGTAGTAGTAGTAGTAGTAGTAGTAGTAGTAGTAGTAGTAGTAGTAGTAGTAGTAGTAGTAGTAGTAGTAGTAGTAGTAGTAGTAGTAGTAGTAGTAGTAGTAGTAGTAGTAGTAGTAGTAGTAGTGGTAGTACTAGTAGTACTAGTAGTTGTAGTAGTCGCAATAATAATAGTAGTAGTAGCAATCGTAGTAGTAGTAGTACTAGTAGTAGCAGTAGTAGCAGTAGTAGTAGTAGTGGTGGCAGTAGTCAGAAAAAGTAGAAGTAGTAGTAGTACGATGTAGTATGTAGTAGTAGCAGCAATCGTAATAGTAGTAGTAACAGTCGTAATAACAACGGCCGAAAAATGGTGGTAGATGTCGTAAGCATCAGAATCGCAACAGTGGCACTAGCAGTGGCGGTAGTAGTAGCCGTGGTAGTAGTAGTAGTAGTAGTAGTAGTAGTAGTAGTAGTTGTTGTTGTAACAGTAGTAGTAGTAGTAGCAGTAGTATCAGTAGTAGTACTAGTAGTAGTAGTAGCAGCAGCAGCAGTAGTAGTAGTAGTAGTAGTAGTAGTAGTCGTAGTCGTCGTCGTCCTAGAAGTAGTAGTAGTAGTAGTAGTAGTAGTAGTAGTAGTAGTAGTAGCAGCAGTAGTAGTAGTAGTAGTAGTAGTAGTACTAGTACTAGTAGTAGCAGTAGTAGCAGTAGTAGTAGTAGTGGTGGCAGTAGTCAAAAATAGTAGAAGTAGTAGTAGTACGATGTAGTATGTAGTAGTAGCAGCAGTCGTAATAGTAGTAGTAACAGTCGTAATAACAGCGGCCGAAAATGGTGGTAGGTGTCGTAAGCATCAGAATCGCAACAGTGGCGCTAGCAGTGGCGGTAGTAGTAGCCGTGGTAGTAGTAGAAGTAGTAGTAGTAGTAGTAGTAGTAGTAGTAGTTGTTGTAGCAGTAGTAGTAGTAGCAGTAGTATCAGTAGTAGTACTAGTAGTAGTAGTAACAGCAGCAGCAGCAGTAGTAGTAGTAGTAGTAGTCGTCGTCCTAGAAGTAGTAGTAGCTAGTAGTAGTAGTAGTAGTAGTAGTAGTAGTAGTAGTAGTAGTAGTAGTAGTAGTAGTAGTAGTAGTGGTAGCAGAAGTAGTAGTAGTAGTAGCAGTAGTAGCAATAGTAGTAGTAATAGTAGTAATAGTAGTAGTAATAGGAATTATATTAGTGATGGTCATGGTATGTAGCAGTAGTAGTCGTACTAGTAATGATAGTAGCTGGTAGTAGCACACAAAACGGTCTGAGTCGCAGCCGTAGTCCTCATAGCAAGTGCAATAGCACGAGTAGTGGCAGTAGCAGACGCAGTTGGAAAGGCAGCAGTAGCAGTAGTAGTGGCAGTAGTAGTCCTCGTACTAATACTAATAGTAGTGGTGTAGTGGTAGTAGTACTAATATTAGTAGTAGTAATCGTAATGGTAGTAGTAGAAGTAGCAGTGGTGGTAGTAGTAGTAGTAGTAGTAGTAGTCAGTAGTAGTATTAGTGCTGGCAGTAGTAACAACAGTACTAGTCGTCGTCGTCGTCAAGGTCGCGGTCGTAAGCGTAGTCATAATCGTAGTCGTGCCCGTGAAAGTACCACCACTACTACTACTACTACTACTACTACTACTACTACTACTACTACTACTACTACTACTACTACTACTACTACGACTACTACTGCTACTACTACTACGACTACTAACTTTTACTACTACTACTACTACTACTACTACTACGACTACTACTACTACTACCACTACCACTAGTACGACTACTACTACTACTACTACTACTACTACTACTACTACTACCACTGCTACTACTACTACTACTACTACTACTACTACGACTACTACTACTACTACTATACTACTACTACTACTACCACCACTACTACTACTACTACTACTACTACTACTACCACTACTACTACTACAACTACAGTAGTACTACTACTACTACTACTACTACTACTACTACTACTACTACTACTACTACTACTAGTACTAGTAGTACTAGTACTAGTAGTACTACTACTACTACTACTACTACTACTACTACTACTACTACTACTACTACTACTACTACTACTACTACTACTACTACTACTACTACTACTACTACTACTACTAGCACGACTACTAATACTAATACTAATACTACGAGTACCCTCAGTACTCGTAGTAGTAGTCGTAGTAGTAGTTATAATACAAGGAGCACAGGACCATGACTAGTAGCAACCGTAGTCCTAGTAGTAGTAGTAGTAGTAGTAGTAGTAGTAGTAGTAGTAGTAGTAGTAGTAGTAGTAGTAGTAGTGGTAGTAGTAGTAGTAGTAGTAGTCGACATCGAAGTAATAGCAACAGTGACGTGATAGTTGGGATCGTAGGTGTGGTAGTAGTAGTGATATTTGTATTAGTAGTAGTAGTAGTAGTAGTAGTAGTAGTAGTAGTAGTAGTAATACAAAAGGAGTAGTAGTAGTAATAGTAGTAGTAGTAATAGTAGTAGCAGTACTACAAGTAGTAGTAGAAGTATTAGTCGTGGTAGTAGTGGTCGTAGTAGTAGTAGTAGTAGTCGTCGTAGTAGTCGTAGTAGTAGTGGTGGTGGTGGTGGTAGTAGTAGTAGCGGTAATAGTGGTAGTATTAGTAGTTGTTGTAGTAGTACTAGTAGTTGCACTCGTAGTAGTAGTAGTAGTAGTAGTAGTAGTAGTAGTAGTAGTAGTAGTAGTAGTAGTAGTAGTAGTGGTGGTAGTAGTAGTAGTAGTAGTAGTTGTTGTGGTAGTAGTAGTAGTAGTAGAAGAAGAAATAGAAGTAGTAGAAGTAGTAGAAGTAGTAGTAGTAGTAGTAGTAGTAGTAATAGTAGTAGTAGTAGTAGTAGTAGTAGTAGTAGTAGTAGTAGTAGTAGTAGTAGTAGTTGTTGTTGTAATCTTAATACTTGTAGCGGTCGTGGAACTGATAGTGGTGGCAGTAGTCGCAACAGTAGTAGGCGGTTTGGTGGCAGCCACCCTTTGCACGCATTCGCGAGTCGTTGGTAATGACCTGTAGTAGCTAGCTAGAGGCTGATTCGCAAGTGCCTCGCAAGCAATACACGAATACTTGGTAATGTGTTGTTTGTTTGGGCCATCGCGTCACTAGCGGTTGGCATTGATAGTCATATGTCAAGACTGGTTACTTAATAGCTGTTGCTTAATACTAAAAGCTGCATGTCTAGTGTTGCCGCCACATAAACAATGAAAAGTATACAAATGACTTCTCTCCCTTCTCCATCCACCCCTTCCTTGCCTCGCCCAATCAGCCCCTCTTCCCCCACCTGATGCTCGAGCTCGTTGCTGCCAGTGTTTTCTAATATGTGACAGCCCCGTGGCCAGACCTACACGGCCCAGGTGCGGGTTTGCGGCTGGCGGCAGAGATGCCGCGTCTCACCTGGGGGGGATCACAGTCCTCTTCCACCTCCGCCTCCACCTCCTCGTCCGCATCACAACCGTCATCCAATGTCGCCCATTACTCTCAACGCCGACTCCGGGCCCAGCGGGTCCCACACAAAAGAGCAGTTCATCCTTCCGCACCATCACCCCTCACAGGAAACCGCGACGAGTCAAACCCGTGCACATTATTTCTTGCCGCGTCGCCGGCGGGTCGCGCGACGCGCCTGGGCAATGGATGAGGAGGGAGGGGGAGAAAGACGAGGAGGAGGAGGGGGTGAGGAAGGGTAGAGGGTGGAGGAGGAGGAGGAGG